CCCCGATGTGCCGGGTGCCAGGTGGGGCTGTAGACGCCTCGCTGTCCTTTCCTGCCCTCTGTGCCCTGCTCAAGGGATGAACAGAGATTTGGGGAGTTGCTCCTGGGAGCCCAGTGGGGTCTGGGGTGTAGACAGGAGCTCCTGGGAGCTGGGTGGGGCAGGGTCTGGGGTGTAGACAGGTAGAGCCCAGTGCCTGATGGGGTCTTGCCAGGGTGAGAGGTCACAGCGGCCATCAACGGACAGTCCTGTGGCCCCGCTGCGGGGAAGGCAGAGCCTCTGGGTCCCGTGATCCCAGGGAGGGTGTGACCAGCAACCGTGAGGGGTCCTGATCAGGCTTCCGTGTCTCCAGGGGGACCCGGCTTCACCTGACTGCTGGTCCTGGTGGTTTCCCTCGCAGGGACTCAGTGTGTGTTCTGAACCCGGGTCGGCTCCCCGACAGGGGGCAGGGACGAACGGTATTCAAGTGAAGGCAGACAGGGAGCACGTCACCCTTCCTCAGGCCCATGCTGGCCCCGGCCCCGGCCAGCACTGAGCCCGTGGCTGCTGGCTTGGCTTCAGGGAAGGCCACAGAGTGGACAGTTGGAAGGAACCAAAGGCTCAGGTGTGGCTCAGGTGAGCACAGGTGAGGCTGTGGGCTCTGTCAGGCCCACACGCTCCGTACCCCAAGACGGTCCTCCCAGAAAGGAAATTGAAGATAGAAAAGCCACACACAGCCGGATTCTGTGCCAATAGAGTCCCCCTAAACTATTAGGTTCCTCCTCAATATTCCCCGAGGGTTAGCACATCAGGTAAGGTGCTTGCCCGGCACGTGGCAGGCCTGGGTTCAGTTCCCAGAATCACATAATGTCCCCATAGAACAAGGCTCACTCCCGAGCACAGAGCCGGGGTAGACCCTGAGAACTCCCAACCTCACCCCAAATCTAGCTCAAATATCCCCTTCTCTTGTTGCTCTATAAAAAACCATTCTTCAGCAAAACTCATGTTTATCTCCAGCATTCAAACTGGAAACTGAGGAAAGAAAATGAGAAGCCCTATTCCAAGTCGAACTCACCCTGCCAAAAATAAAACAGGAAGATCCATAAGAAAAAATAAGAAACATAAGTTGGTAAACTTGTATCCCTCCTTATGGTATGAAGGGAAAGCCAGCAAGTGTGTACTTGGACAAACATGTAGGAGAAGCGGGTAGGCCCATGGAATCAAGGCCGGAGAGCCTGCACAGGAGGTAATGTGTTCTCCTCACCGTCACTGGCTCTGGCTGGATCACCGTAGACTGTTGGGCAAGGTCATGCCCAACAGAAGGTGCAGTCATAATCCAGATATGAGCTTTAGGATGAAATTTAGCTTGGTTTAGACAATGGCAAAATTGAAGGGAAAGAAATATAGTTTTTAACTTGTATGACACATCAAAGGTGTTATTTTCCAAAGGGATTTTATTTTTGGTTAAAAAAAAAAACTCGTCAAAGGCTGAAACATTCCCTGCATAATGCCGAGATGTCAGAATGATGGGGCTTTAAAGTTCCGTGCGCACCGTGGACGTTCCGACTCGCTAACACAAATAACAGCCGCAGACGTGGCCACGTGGGTGGGATGGAGCAGTGCCTGTCGCTCTCCCGTCCCGTCGCTGCTGCTGTTAATCTCTTGTCGCTGAGGCGGCCTGTTGTGACACGCAGCCTGTCGCAACATGCAGCATTGTTGTGACACGCGGCGTTGTTGTGACATGCGTGTTCTAAGAAAAACAGCACGAGACTCGCCAGCCAAGGCTTCCCACGCTCGGGTGTGTCTGGGCTCCCTCCCTTCTTTGTTCTTGGGCCTCGTGGTGGGGCTTCGTTCTTGGTGGGTTTCCCAACCCACTTCTTCAAGACGAGCCGTTTCTGTCGTGTTATTCTCTGTGGGTCAGCCCAGTGGAGAGAGCCGAGTGCCAGGGCAGCTCTGAACAGCAGCGCCCACCCCTTCCGGCTGACCTGCGGGGTCAGGGGGCCTTTCCCTCCCGCCAGAGCTCACAGCTGAGCCCCCTCACGCCTCCTCTGTCCTGATCCAAGGCATCCACATCTCTGCCAGGAGATTTCCCAGTGCTGCTTCTGGGGCGTGCGCCAGAGTTTCTCTCTCTCTCTCCCCCCTCTTTCCTCTCTCTCTCCCTTTCTGTCTCTCTCTGTCTCTCTCTCTGTCTCTCTCCCTCTCTCTCCACCTCTCTCTTCCTCTCCCTCTCTTTCTCTCCCTCTCTCTCCCTTTCTGTCTCTCTCTGTCTCCCTCTCTCTCTCCCTCTCCCTCTTTTTCTCTCCCCCTCTCTCCCTTTCTGTCTCTCTGTCTCTCTCCCTCTCCTCCTCTCTTCCTCTCTCTCTCCCTCTCTCTCCCTTTCTGTCTCTCTCTGTCTCTCTCCCTCTCTCCATCTCTCTCTTCCTCTCCCTCTCTTTTTCTCTCCCTCTCTCCCTTTCTCTTCCTCTCTCTGTCTTTCTCTGTGTCTTTCTCTGTCTCTCTCTGTCTCTCCCTCTCTCGTTTTGTCTTTTTCTCTTCCTGCCTCTCCCCCTCTCTCTCTTTCTCTCCCCCCCCCCCATCACTGTATGTTGGATCATCTTTATCTTTCCTTCCATCCCTGTTCTTGCATCTCCTTCTGGCTCTGCTTGTCCACCTGTATTAATAACTGTGACCTCAGCGTCCCGGCTGAGGAGCCCGGCTCTGGGTGGGAGCTTCTCTCCCTCTGCTCTGACTGACTTCCCAGCTCCTCAGTAGCACTCGTCGGGTTGGGATATGGATCTTTAAGTCATGACCTGCTGGTTCTCTGATTCTATTGTTCATCTTTTCCATCTTGCCATCAAGTTTTTTTTTTTAATTTATGTCCTTGTTCTAAGATGAAAAAAATTTGAAAACTTCCTCGGCTTCCTTGAATTGTATTTTTCTTCTAGATTGAGTCTTTTGTTTCTCACCGGCAAACTATTGTTTTTTCTTTTTATTGAATATATTTGCAGTGTTCCTGGTCCTTTTCATTTCCTCAAGGTTGAGGGATGGTGCCGTTTCTCCCTTCCTTTGTGGAGAGGAATGGTTCTTAACCGACGTCCCAGCACACCAGGGGCCTGTGTCCCCCTGCTCAGCTGTGGCTTGGAGCTGGAGACTCGGGGTTAGGGGCCCCCTCCTCCCGCCCAGGAGGCAAGGCTGGAGCTAAGCCCTGAGGCTCAGTGTAGCGCGGGCACCCAGGGGTGCTGGGGGTCAGTGGTCAGGGGACTCCATGCGGACAGGGGTCCCGCCCAGGCAGGATCTGAATCTGGCTCGGGGACAGGGTGGGCGTGGGGAACAGAGCAGGTGCGTGAGTCGAGGAGCTGGGGGCAGGGCCAGGGCCCCCATGGGGTAACGGGGTCTTCACAGGCCCAGGGGCATCGTCCCTGTGCCCGCCGGGGTGGGTGGAGGAAGAAAGGCACCAGCGTGGCAGGACTCGGGGCCTGGCTCTCTGGTCACAGTGAGGGAGGAGGGAAGGCAGGTGGGCACGTGGCCGGGTGAGACCACCCAGCAAAGGGTAGCCCCATCCATGCCCTTAACATGCTCATGCTGCGGCAGGACACAGGTGTGGGATGTGTCTGCACATGCACAAAGAAACCTATGTGTGAAGATTCATCGGACACACAGTCGACATGCGGGGCTGTCTGCAATACTGACATGTGCAGAATAACTTCGTGTGTTCAAGCCTCACACGGCGCAGACTGATGGCACAAGGACATACACACGTGGATAGAATGTGCTCACATCTGTAAACTCAGTGATGTGCTACAGAGATGGAGACGAGTTGTGAATGTGCATAACAGTATGTGCTCATGTCAATCACACACACGCACATGTTCATACACACATGCACACACGCACACACGCACACACATGCACACACATGCTCACACAGACACCCACATGCACACACGCACACAGACACATGCATACGCATGCACACACATGCATACATGCACACACATGAACACAGAGACACAAGCACATACATGCACACACACACATGCATACGGGGACACACACACACACACACACACACACACACACACACCATGAGAAGCCCGCAGAGCAGGGACATGGAGCGCGCTCAGATTTCAGATCACAGGTCCTGGTGCCTTCTCGGGGAAGGGGACTTGCCATCGGGGTTCCCTGTGAGCCGCCAGCCCCAGGAGCCCATCCCCGTCCCGGAGAGCAAGGCAGGCGACCCCGTCACATGGATGGGTGGGAGTCTCCGAACGGAAGTCCTGTGGCCAACTCAGTGGCAGCGGCTGCATGGTCACAGCTTCGCTACTCTCCGGCAGAGCCAGGGACTGAGGCTCGGGCGGGAGCAGCGTCAGAGCACTGGCGCAGGAGTCAGCTCTGTGCTCACACCTCTCCCCTCCAGGCCCCAAGCACCAGAACCCCCTGCTGGAGGGGGGGCAGCTTGTCCCTTGGCCACATCCCACACCCAGTGGGAACATCTGGCAGTGTCTGGTCTGTAGCCAGGGTCCTGGGGCAGGCAGGAGAGCCTACAGCCGCCCTGTGGGGCGGCTCTCCCGGGCCCTGGTCATGTCTTCGTGGGGAGCTGTGGGCGGGGGGGGGGGGGCAGCCAGCTCGGCCTCTGGAGGGACAGAGCCCACGGGTGCTCCTGACCTTCCCGCACACAGAGACCATGGCCAGGGAGTCGCTGGGCCTACCGGTGCTCACACGGACAGTGCTCACAGGGCCCAGTGGTCACTGGGCTGGACCCACCCCAGTCCCTGGCTATGTGTGACAGAATCTGTGTGAAAGGGAGAAAGTTTTGGTTGTTCCCTTCGGTTCTTGTTTCGGCACCACAATAGCCCGTGCCCAGGGCTTGCTCCAGGCTCCCTGTCGGCGGTCACTCCTGGCGGGTCAGGAGCACACGGGGTGCCAGATGGAGCCTGGGTGTGTCTCCGCTGTTCCTCGTCCCCTGGGAGGGCGGCGGGGCATCGCTTGCTCGGTCCTGCAGTGGCCAGACGGCCGGGCTGCCACTGCCTGTCTCTTCTCTGCAGGTGTCGGACTCACCAGCCGCCCCACCTTCACCCGGGAGCCCCAGGACGTCACCATCCCTCTGGAGTCCCCGCAGCCTGACGTCTTCCTGGACTGCGCTGCCCACGGCTACCCACCCCCACAGTACAGGTGAGGCCACACGTGCTGTCGTGCTGCCCTGGGCCTTGGGGAGGCTCGGCCCTGCAGGGTCACGTCGCAGGAGGGGCTGCCCCCACCTCATAGCGGGCCAGCAGGTGTCCATGAGAGGGCAGTGTCCAGCGGGCGTCCGTGAGAGGGTAGCAATCCCAAGGCGCCCAGAACACTCTCAGGGGCCTCCGCTCGTCCCTACGGCCCTGGACCAGCAATGACCGGTGGGTTTGGGGAGAGGACGGAGGTGAAGGGCACCCGCAAGGAGGGGAGTTCAGGAAACGGGGTTTGACACTGTTCGGGCTGGACCCAGCAGTCCACAGTGGCTTTCCTGACTCAGTGCTCAGGGTCACTCTGTGGTTCTCGGGGACCTGCCTCGGAAATGTCCCCCAGAGGCGCCAGCCAGGAGGGCTCTGCGCCCCGCCGGGTGGACTCGTGGCACGTCCCCTCCACAGCCCGGTTAAACAGCGCAGGGACGATGCTTACACCCACTAGGAAGAAAGGATCTTTATTCAGGGCAAGTGGGAAAGAATGAATTTTTCTCACATATTATCTGTGAATTAATAGGGAGGAGAGGTCAGGGATGTTTTCTCATTCTTACACGGTTTCAGTAAAAGCAGAACTTGACTTCTATTGTGTGTGGAATTCACACATTTATTTATTTTCTGTGTGTGAATAAAACCGTTTCTTTAGAGAAGTCTGAGGAGGGGGAGAGAGTCACGTGTCCAGGATGGAACGTGGGCTTCTCGGGAGGAGGACTGGGCTGCTGTGTCCAGGCGAGGCTGGTGCTGGGACCCGCTGACTCACCCCGTGGGGTGACCGAGACCCAGATGCTCGTGGACGTGGGACTTGTGCCTTCACGTCTGCAGCGTGAGCAAGAGACGGCAGAAACGTTCATGACTCCCGAGGCTTGAGGTTTCCAGTGAAAGTTCGAAGTCTGCGACAAAGGAGTCGAGCCAAAGTCCAAAAGGCAGCACTCTCAATTTTCTTCGGAAAACTGCGCTCTTTTCCATATTTTTTCCTGTTAAAATGCCATCGTTGGCTTGCTCCTCCAAGCCCAGTGAACCTTGAACACAGGCCTCTGTCACTGCAGAGAAGCCGAGCGCTCTGGGCCTGATTCCTCTCTGTCTCCCACACACCTTGCTTTCTGTTTTTAATGGAATCACCATGAGACACGTGTCACAAAGTTTTTGCTGATTGGATTTCAGTGATACAACATTCCATCACCCGTCCCTTCACGAGTACACTTCACCTACCACCAGTGTCCCCAGTGCCCCCCACCCAACTCCTCCACGCCCCCCTGCAGCCTGTCTCAATGGCAGACACTTTCCTGTTTCTCTCTGTCTGTCTCTGTCTCTGTCTCTGTCTGTCCTTCTCTTTTTCTCTCTCCCTCTTATTTATCTCTTAGCACTCAGGTTTTGTCCAGAGTGATCATTTCCAACTAGCAATGTCTCTGTCCTAACTGCCCTCCACTCCCCCCTTGTGTCTGCTTCCTACCACGGGCCAGTCCTCCCGGCCCTTTTAGCTACTGTCTTTGGTTACCTTTCACATACTATTTTTCCCCCACAAATAAGTGAAATCGTTCTATATTTGTCCCTCTCCCTCTGACTCATTTCACTCAACTCGATACTCCCCATGTCCATTCATGTATGAGAAAATTTCATTCCTTCATTTTCCCTGGTGGCTGTGTAGTATTCCATTTTGCGGATGGACCAGAGTTTCTCTGTCCACTCATCTGGTCTCGGACACTTGGGTTGTTTCCATCATTCTGGCTATCGTGAATAGTGCTGCAATGAACATAGGAGTGCAGATGGCTTTTCTGCAACGTGTATTTTGGACCACTAGTGTATGTTCCAAGAAGCGCGATTGGTGGGTCATATGGGAAGCTCAATTTATCGTATTCTTGAGGAATGTGCGTATTGTTTTCCAGAAATGCTGGACCACTCACGTTGGCACCAACAGTGAATGAGAGTCCCTTTCTCTCCAAGGCCATGGCAGCACTGGTTATTCTTTGTGGTGTGTGCCAATCTCCATGGCATTAAATGATATATCATTGTTGTTTTGATTTGCATCTCCCTGCCGATTACTGAGATGGAACACTTTTTCATGTGCCTTTTATTCGATTTTATTTCTTTTTTGAAGAAGGTCCTGTTTGTCTCTTCTCCCTATTTTTTGATGGGGTTGGATTTTTTTTCTTGTGAAGTTTTACCAGTGCCTTAGATTTTGGATACTAAGTTTTTATCAGATGAGTGTTAATAATAATCACTTAACTTAATAATCACTTAACTTCCCGTTAGTCGTCGATTTGCTCGAGCGGGCGCCAGTAATGTCTCCATTTGTCCCTGTCGCGTGCTAGTGTAGCCCAATGGCATCTGTTCGCTCCGGGAACATGAGGGGCCTCAAACCGATCGTTCATGATCTTGACGAAGAAGTCTGACCATCTGGAAGGTGGGCAGCCACGCGGTCTTTTGACATCCCGTGGAATCCAGTCGGTAACAGCTCTAGTCCAGCGGTCGTCTTTAAATCTCATTACATGACCAGCCCATCTGATTTTCGACACCTTGGCAAATGAGACAGCGTCCCTGATTCTTGATCATCAACGGATGTCAGAACTCCGGATTCTTTCTCTCATTTGAGTGAAACGTGATATTCCAAGCATAGCTCTTTCTATTCTTCTTTGGGAGACCCGAATAGCGTTCTCATCTTGTTTGCGTAGGGCCCAGATCTCTGAGGCGTATGTTAATGCAGGAAGAACAGTGGAATCAAAGAGATGTGCCCGGAGCCGGAGGTTTTTTGTCCTCTTAGCTATTTCTTCGACGTTCTTGAAGGCGTTCCAAGCAGCTTTCTTCCTCCTGCACAGCTCGGGTGCCAGGTCATTTGTCATGTTGACCTCTCGACCTAGGTACACATAGCTGTTGCATTCAGATGAGTGTTAGGTAAATAATATTTCCATGGGCTGTCTTTGTATTTTGGTCATAGTTTTATTTGAAGTGCAGAAGCTCCTTAGTTTACTGTAGCCCCATTTGTCTATCTTTGCTTTCCACACTGAAAATGCTGTCAGCTTTAATGCCATAGAGTTCTGCCTACAATTTCCCCTATGTACCTTATGGATTCAGGTCTGATATCAAGATACAGAAACCATTTTGATTTGATTTTTGTGTATGGTGTTAGGAAGTGGGATGAGTTTATTTATTTATTTATTTATTTTTACATGCAGCTGCCCAGTTTTCCCAACAGCACTCGTTGAAGCAGCGTTCCTTACTCCACTTCATATTTTTGGCCTTTATTGGAAACTGACTGATAATATCCCTAAGGGTCTGCCTCAGGATATCCAAGTCCATTCCATTGATCTGAGAGTCTGTCTTGATTCCAGTACCACACTGTTTTAATTATTAACTGTTTGTAGTACAGTTTGAAGTTGGGGAAAGTGATACTTCCCATCTTCTTTCTTCTAAGTACTTCTTTAGCTATTTGCAGGGGTGGGCAGGGGGAGGGTGGTGCTTGTGGTAATGTTGCATATGAATTTCAGGAGTGTTTGATCAATTTCTCTTAAAAATGGATATCCTTATAGGGACTGCATTGAATCTGTACAATGCTTTGGGGGAGTATTGACAGTTTGTGATATTAATCCTCCCAGTCAATGGGCAGGGGATGTACTTCCATTTCCTCATGTCCTCTGTTATTTTATGAAGTCGTGTTTCGTAATTTTAATGGTCTTTCACCTCTTCAGTTAAGCTGATTTGAAGGTACTTGATTTTCTCATGCACAATTGCGAGTGGGAATTTTTGTTTAATGTCTCTTTCTTCTTTTTCATTATTTGTATATAGGAAAGCCATGGACTTTTGTGTATTAATTTTGTAGCTAGCCGCATTACTATACAAATCTATTGTTTCTAGGAACTTTTTATAGGGTCTTTAGGTTTTTCTCAGACTAGTATCATGTCACCTGCAAATAGTGAGAGTTTGACTTCTTCTCTTTATATTCATTCTTCTCAATGTCCTTGATATCTTTTTTCTTACCTAATTGCTATGGCAAGTACTTGTAGTATTATATTGACTAAAAATGGTGAGGGGGGCAAACCTATCTTGTGTCTGATCTTAGAGGGAAGGCTTTTAGTTTCTCCCCAGTGAATATAATGCTTGCTGTGGCTTTGACTATATTGATGAAAGCTCCCTCAATTCCCGTTTTGTTGAGAGTTTTTTATCCTGAAGGGGTGCTGGATCTTGTCAAATGTTTTCTCTGTGTTTATTGATGTGATCATTTGGTTTTTACTTTTTCCTTTACTGATATGGTTTATTATGTTGATTGACTTGTGTATATGGAAACCATCCTTGAATTCCTGGGATGAATCCTATTAGTTCATTGTGTATGATCTTTTTGATGAATGATCAGATTCTATTTTCTGGTGTTTTGTTGAGGACCATTGCATCCATGTTCATCAGGCTATTGGCCTGTAAATGCTTTTCTTATGCGTGGTGTCTCCATCTGTTTTTGGTATTGGGGTGATGTTTGCTTCATAGAAACTGCTTGAAAGTGCTTTTGTTTCTTCAACCTCCTGAAAGAGCTCGGAGGAGATCAGCAGTAGGACATCTTTAAGGGTCCGAGAGGAGTCACTAGTGACTCTATCTGGGCCTGGGCATTTGGTTTGGTGAAGACTTTTGATTACCATTTTAATCTCCTCAATAGTGATAGGTCTGTTCAGGTATTTCAGATCATTTTGGCTCAGCCTTGGGAGGTTATAGGAATCCAGAAATTTACTCATTTCTTCTATATTGTCTTATTTCATGACATAAAGATTCTCAAAGTCATCTCTATTGAGCCATTGCATTTCAGAGATGACTCTTCCTGATGTGCATTTCTGATTTGGTTTAACAAGGTTACCTCTCTTCTCTCTCTTTCTCCCTCTCTCTCCCCCTCTCTCCCTATCTCTTTCTCTCCCTCTCTCTTTCTCCCTCTCTCTCTCCCTCTCTCCCTCTCTCTTTCTCTCCCTCTCTCTTTCTCCCTCTCTCTCTCTCCCTCCCCCTATCTCTTTCTCTTTCCCCATGAGTCTTGCTAGTGGTTTATCAATCTTGTTTATTTTTTTTTAAAAAGATCAGCTCTTGGTTTCATTGATCTTTGAATCAATTTGGGGGATCCCAGTATACTAATTTGCTGTTAGTTTTATTATTTCCATATTCCTGCCTGCTTTGTATTCCCTTTGTTAGTCATTTTCTAGTTTTTTTTTAAGCTGTGCTGTCAAATTATTTATGTGGATCCTTTTTTCCTTTCTGATGAATGCTTGCATAGGAATAAACTTTCCTCTTCACACCACTTTTGCTGTGTCCCATGAGCTCTGGTGGGTCATGCCCTCATTCTCTTTTCATGAATCTTTTAATTTCCTCTTTGACTTCCTCTCTGGTCCACTGGTTGGTCAGTAATGAGCTATTTAATTTCCAGGTTTTGGGGTTGTTTCTCCATTTGTTTGTGATTAACTTCTCCCTTCAGTTCTGCTTTCCAGAGGACAGTTGATGTGATTTTTGTGATCTTGACTTTGTGAAGGTTCTTTTTGTGTCCCTCATGTGGTCTATCTTGGAGGATATTCCATGTGCATTGGAGAAGAATGTGCATTCGGCATTTGAGAATGGGAAGGCCTACATAAATCTACTAATGCCATCTCTTCCACTTCTCCCCTCAAATAGAGTATTTCCTTGCTGAGCTTTAGTCTAGTTGATCTATCAAGAGGTGACAAAGTGATGTTGGAATCTCCAGCTACCAATGTGTTGCTACCAATGTCTTTCCTCAAGTATATTGGCTGTTTTAAGCATTTTGCTGGTTTCTGATTAGGTGCATGTTTATTTAAGACTGCCAGTTCTTCCTGATGTATAGGTCCCTGGATCACTGAGAAATGACCTTCACTTTCTCTTGTGACCTTCTTCAGCATGAAGTCTGTGTCCCTTATACTAGTATGGCCACCTTGGCCTTTCTGAGGGAGTTTGTTTGCTTTAAGAATGTCTTCCAAACTTTGACTTTGAGTCTGTGTTTTCTCTGACTGTTCAAATGTATTTCTTGCAGGCAGCGGACCATTGGGTTCAATTTTCTAATCCATTCTGCCACTCTGTGTCTCTTAATTGGTGCATTTAGTCCATTGATATTGAGAGAGATCATTGTTATGGAGCTTTGTGCTGCCTTTCTGTAGGTGCTTGGTCTGTTTTCTGGGGCTTGTCTTGTCTTCAAGTAGCCCATTTAATCCTTCTTGTAATGGTGGTTTTTGCATCTTTGAAGTTCCTCAGTTGTTGTTTATCTGTGAAGTTGACCTCATTTCTTTCTAAGTAAATTCTGTTTAACAGAAACCATTTCTCTTCACAAAAATAAATAATAAAATACCGTAGTCATATGTAGAATTCCTTTGGTCTGAGAATCACCTGTCTCCTGAGCTGAAGGGCTCAAACAGAAGCCAGGCTGCTGCCCGCCTTGTGCTCCGAGGAGCAAACCTCAGGGTCTCGTTGTCACACAAGGGTTGGGGGGGGGGAGGTGGGGAAGGGGGAAGGGGGGGGAAAGGTTCTGTTCCCTTCCCCTGCTGATAGCAGCCCCAGCCTGTGCTCAGGACCCTGCCCACCAGGCCCATCTCTGGCTCACATCCTGAGGCACTCACCATTCTCTCCTTTCACAACTGGCTGCTTTATTTCTTCGTAAAAAGGCAAACCACTCAAGTGAGTAAAAACTGGATCAACACGTGTTTTGGACTCACCTAAAGCTGTAGCTTCCTGGGAGTTGATTTGAGAGTTAGGCCTGGCAGGGGTCACAAGAGAGGAGAGAGGGCAGAAGGTTCTTCCACAGTCTGGGACAGTCCCGGGCAGCGGTTCCCGCAGGCACTGGCTGGTGTGAGGCAGGACAGTGTCCAGCATGGGTTTCTGCTGGACTTGAACTTGACCCCTCGGCCCCACTGTGTTGGGTGGCTTTTCTTTAACTCACTTGCCAGCGGAAAGGGAAGGCTCAGCTCTCCTCTAACATCAGATCCTGAAAGTCGCCCAGGCCGGAGGCTGAAGAGGGAGCTGGGAGCTGAGGACAGCTTTTTCTCTTCCTTTTGGGGAGCTTCCAGGAAGTGCCCGGGGGGCTGGGACCCGGTGGTGAGTCTTGGCCGGAGCGACCAGTGTCCCCAGTGCCATGGAAGGGTGCAGTGCTACTGTGGTGCGGGTCCCTGGGACACCCAGGGGTGGTGCTGGGGCCTCTGGCGAGCACTGGGCAGTGCCCAAGGCACCCCACAGTGTTGGGGATTGAACCAGACTTGGAACTGACCAGGCTGTGCGCTAACCACTGTGCTGTCTCCTGGTCCCAAGAGCTCAGTTATTAATGCTTAAGTGTAATCTCAGGAAAGGTCAGGCATGTGCAGAAGCCCGGCCCAGCACACGTGTGTCCCGGAGACAGGGCGGCTCTCAGGGTGAGCCCACCCCGAGGCCTCGCTCTGTGAGAACAGGGGCCATGTCCATCACAGGGTCCCACCCAACCCCTTTTGCCTGGTCAGCCAAGGAGGCGCCTCCCCTCCTGGACCCCAAGAGACTCGGGCTGTGACATAGGGTGATTGCCAGAGGGGAGGGTGGCTCAGCTCGGGTGGGCAGGAGGGACTGTCCTGTCCTGCACCCCACTGAGAATGCCCACAAGTTAGATTGTCGAGTTCTCCTCAGAGGCTACAGATGGCCCCAGAATCCAGCCCTCCCCGCCCCGCCTACACACAAGCACATGCAGACACACACAGAACCACACAGACACGCAAACACATAAACACACCCCCACACACATAAGCACACACACACAAACACACACACAGACACATAAGCACACCCACACACACATGAACACAAAGCACACACACAGACGCATAAGCACACACAGCCACAGGCACACACAGGACATAAGCACACACATGAACATAGAGACACACAGACACATACAGACACACAAGTACACACAGACACACAAGCATTCACAAGCACACACAGAAACACACAAGCACACACAGCATACATGTACAAGCACACACACACTTTTGCAAGCACATACACGTATCCAGACACACACTTGTGTTGTACAAATACCTCAGACACCGCCCTTAGATATTAAGATCTTGACACATGGTTCAAGCACTTAATAGTGAAGTATGTTCCCCAGCTAAAGGTCAAGATTTTAGTTCAAATCCATTATGTTTCCAGGAATTAATATCCTATTAATTCCAAAGCTTAAAATAATAATTGTGTGTACTTCCCAGCGGCATCCCGCCCGGGCCGTGATCCTAACAGCACTGTGCACGGGACAGCGCGTGGATCCACGCATGTTAATCAGGACAGCGCCCTCACCGAAGCTGAACCCTGATCCAGACGCAGCTTAATCATCATTGTACCAGTGATTAGAATGATTACAGGGATACTGTGAGAAATTCATTTGCTGTAGCTGAGCCAACAACTTTGAATTTGTGTTGAAAAACAATTACGGAGCTTAATTAGGAGCATGTACTGATGACAGCAGTTATTTCCGTGATTGATTCCGAAATTAAGGAGAGCTGGCCTGCTCGGCGCAGGCTGGCCACGCTCTGGGAGGCGAAGGGCACGGCGGGCAGGGCCCAGGACCCCCGGCAGACAGGGCTGGAGGGAGAGAGACGGGACTGTCTTCTCCCAATACGGAGAGCAAGAAACTGCATGTTTGCATAGAAAAGTGTCCACCCGGAGGTATAGACAGACGATGGGGATGATCTTAACGAAGTTCCTTGGGACTTGTCTCTGCCCACGCCCATGTTCCAGCCCTGCCTCCCATGCCCATGTCTCACCTCTGACCACGTCCGTGGCCCTCCCTGCCCATGCCTTGTCCCTCTCATGTCCACACCTCCCCCTGCGGTGGCAGGCATTGCCACACTCTCTCCACAGAGGCCTCGGGGTCTTGGGAAGAACCCTGCCACGTTCACTCTCCTCACTGTTACTTCCCCAAGGTGTGGACAGTCTTAGTGGGAAGGGCAGGGCCAGTGTCCCATGATGTGGGCAGGGCCAGTGCCCTGTGACCCAGGAACTACATGTTATACCAGGGAAAATGCCCACTGACCCTTCAGTAGTTCATCGTTGGCTCTGTCCCTTTTCTGAAGCGTTTCTTCCCCTGGGACCACTTGAGGGACACGTCTCGCTCAGTGTGGAGTGCTCATGCTGCAAATGGTGGCCTATTTTGAGGGGACTTTGGGGGGTCCTAAGAGGCAGGTTGATCCGGTCCGGTCTGGGCCCAGTACTGGGAATGAGTCCTTCACTGTTCACCAGGTGCATGGAACAGTCACTCGACACCCCTTCCCTTAGCTCCTGGGCTCACGAATGCAGACGTTGGTCCACCCCAGGTGAAACATTGTCTGAAATAAAAGCCTTGCAAACCGTATTTGTTTTGCTGCAGTATGATTTTAGTTTGGCATTTCTAAATACCATCGAAATCTCCTCAGCCTGTTTGGCTTCCCAAGGGACTAACAAGCAGGCACGTCCGAGGCGCTGGGTGAGGGCCACTCAGACGCCCCTTGGCATTGCCACGGCTCTGCCGGCTGCTCCTCTTCCATCTGTCGCACTTGCTCTGTGTCTGTCTGTCCTTTGCTGGAGGCTCTGCGGCGTCAGGCGGGCTTTGGATCTGGACCCAGCAGTGCCCGGTGGGTCTTGAAGGCCAGAGCTTCCACTAAAGGTCTTGCTTGGGCCCAGGTTTCTGGAGCCTCCAGTTGGTGAGCATGTGTGGTTCCCCGGGAGAGACCCAGGCCCTCGTGTGGGCACCACGGAGCGCAGGACTCGCCTTCTCAGAGGAACCCTGTAGGGATTCTGCAGGTGCCATAGTCTGAGGCCTCTGCGGGTCACAGCTGCACGGTGCCAGGTGTGAGGTGGGAGCCACGCCTGCTGCCTGCCAGCCCTGACTCCCCTTTCCCCCCGAAGGTGGAAGCGCAATGGCACGGACATCGACTTTGCCCAGAGCTACCCCTACAGGCTGGAGGGAGGCAGCCTGCTCATCAGCCAGCCCCGCGTGGACAGAGACGTGGGCATCTACCAGTGCTGGGCCTCCAACCCGCTGGGGACAGCTCTGAGCCGCAAGGCCACGCTCCAATTTGCATGTGAGTATGCCCAGTCTCCCCGGGAGCAGCCAGCACAGCTGGTCTCTCGCCCCCTGAAATGCCTCTGGGCGGGGTGGGGGGGGTGAAGGGTCTAGCGATGCGTGTTGTGTGGGTCCAGACTTCGGGAGTAGTCGGAAGCCGTCTGCCGAGTGTGGAAACAGCATCAGGGCTGTTGTGTTTGGTGAGTGAGGGCGAGAGTCTGGCCAGGTTCCAGGTGAGTCCCACAGTAGGTGTGTGATTTACGCTAAGGAAGGCATCACCTCACTTCCTTGGGGTTTTTTTTTTTTTTTTGGTGCTGTCTGAGAGTGCAGAGAAGGGCAAGAGAAGGCCGAGGGCAGGGCTGTCTGGGGGAGGCGCCGTCTCCCAGGAAAAGTGACCGCACACCCACGGTGTGATGTCGGAGGAAATAAAGTGGTTGCCAGAGGCAGGCTTTATATTAACTGTAACCATGTCCAGCTGCGTCACATAAATGTCATCCAAGTAATTACCTTGGTGACATTTGGGGACATTAGCAGATGAACAATGGACAGGCTGCTTCTCCTCTCCCTAATACAGTGTGTTCTGGGGCTGAAATATTCCGTGCTGGGTTCAGGGAAGCCTTGCTCGGGTGGGGCTGTAGCTGTGGGTGTGGCTGGCACAGGGCTGGGGCACTCCTCCGTCCTTTCCTGGCGGGTGGGGGCGCTTGTCCCTCGGCGGAAGCCAGACCCAGACTGCGCATGGCTCTCCTCTCCAGCCGGAAGGCTTTTCACAAAGCCCTGGGTACTTCCTGCCTCTGGCATGACCTTGTTGGTGCAGACACCTGAGCTGGCGATTAGTCTGGTTCCCACTGCGGGCGAATATCCCAGGCCAACCCAGAGCCCTGCCACTCGGCACACGCTCCCGTGGTGTCTGCTGAAGGCAATCCTTGCTTCTGAAAATGCACACACACACACTCACACTCGCACAAGCACATGCACACACATGCACACATGTGTACACGCACGCACACAAATGTACATCCATGCACATGCACACATGCACATACACGTGCACACACATGCACCCACATGCACATACAAGGCACACATGTGCACACATGAACACACATGTGCACACATGCACAAATATGCACACACGTACACATATGCACACACATGTACACACATGCATATACACGTGCACACAGAGGCATAGACATGTACACACATGCACACACACGCACACATGCACACATGCACAAACACACATGCGCACACACGCATGTACACACATGCACACACATGTACACACATGTATATACATGTGCACACAGAAACACACATGCGCACACATACACACATGCACACACGTGCACAAATATGCACATCCACATGCATACACACACATACACACACGAACACGCACACACACGCATCACATAGGACACAGCTGCCTGGACACTGGGCATCGCTAACTGCATCTGAGTGTGCAGAAATCTGGACTGAAAGTGAACACGGAGCCAGTAGATGACGAACAGCAGCAGTTAGTGTGAGGCAGGGTCTGTGTTTCTTTTTACATGTCTGTTGTTTACGTTACGTGACATTTCAGCAAATATCATCACTTGGAGAAAAGATAATGGAGAGAAGTGCAGATTGGAAGCATGTTGTGCAGCCTCAGAGTTCCTCGAGGCCGGCGGTCACTGTCCTCCTCCCCCGCACCACACATGGTTCCCAAAGTCTTCCAGGAGTCATCCCTGAGCACAGAGCAGGGAGCCGGCCCTGAGGACCACCGATGTGGCCCCCAGCCCATAGATACAGATATAGATCTATACCTGGAAGCTTCCCTAGGCTAGAATGTGTTGCCTTTGCTGCAGGGAAAAGGAGTCGATTAAGATAAAATCATACAATTCCATTCCAGTAGGAGCAATTGACTCGTCCTTGGAAACCTTCCTGTCTCTTCCTGGAGGTTTTCTTGCTAGGGGTTGACGGTGAACGCCTGTGGCTCCCGAAAAGCATTTCTCTTACGACTGGGTCTCTCGTCATTCACACACCATCTTCTGAAGTGTTAGGAACCGTGGCTTCATGTCTGAGTTTCACCAGACAAACTGAGACCCCAGACTCCGCCTTGTCTTCACAGCACCTGCTGCTGTGGCCCTCTGCAGTGCAGGGGGTAAGCCCCACCCAAATAGGGCCTGCCCCTGAGCCCTGTCTGCCGCCCCTCTCCCCTGTTCTCTCCTGGAGTGGAGAATCATTCTAGGAAAGGCGGAAGACACTAGCTTTGCCCCCACAAATGAGCAGCTCTCGGCTCTGGTTGGGACATTGCAGAGGAACCGGGAGGGTCGAGGCAGTCGGGTACATAAGCGTCCGGCACTCAGAGCCAGCAATAGACCCAGGGCGGTGGGGGAAGGGGGGGATGTTGTCACAAAACCCTAACAAAAGTACATGAGATTTGAAACAATAAAACTCCATCTGAGTGCATAACTGTAGGGCTGCTCCCAGCGGTGCCTCTTTTCTATAAGCTGGGGGCGGGAATTCTTGCTCCGTGCCCAGGATGGATTTAGAAGGTTCTAGAGTAAAATGCAAATCATAATTCACTGCAGGCTTGAGGCATTTTTCCCTGCAAGTTGTTGAGCGGGTTCTCTCTCTGCAGGGCTCAGCATCTTTACCTGGGCCCCAAGCGATTCCAACTCCTGATTTGGAGACGGAGACACTCAACACAGCAACACTCTGCCCAGGGCTGCCCAGACAGCTGGCTGAGGGCTCTCGTATGCCAGAGAGGGGAAGGAAAACCACCCACGTGGATCTAAGGCATCACCATGGCTCAACAGAGGAGAGCATCTGGCTCTAGGGGGGAATTCCTAAGACACTTGAAAGTGGTCTGAACAAGCAGAAATAAAAGAAACCCTCACACCAAGAAGTAGATTTTAAATCTTCGCGGTCACTGTCCAGTCTTTTAAATCCCTTCCCCTGTAAGGAATGCAAAAACCCTTCCGTCCGATCTCGATAAGGTGGTAGTGTGCGTCCGTATCTGAAGAAGGGACTCGGGGCCAGGGGGAAGAGGCGGCAAACGGTGCCCAGAGCGCCCGGGAGCAGAGCCCTGGCGGCTGGGAGGTGGGCGTTCCAGGAGAAGGCTGTCTAATTACATGTGGAAACACCAGATGATTCTTACCGTTGTTTGTTCTGAGGAAACAAACAGCTAAACAAAATAGGCAAAGATTTTTTTCTTTAATTTTCTCAGTAAAGGGAAGTTGACAAATTGGGTTTTTCATCACCCTTTTAGAAGCTGTGCGAAATGTTGCAGCTGACGATTTAGGGTTTCAAATTTGTCTTAATGGAATAATAGCAGAACCCCCAATCGGCCTCATATCAGGAGAAGACTTTGTCTTCGCTTTCAGATGTAATCTATTTCTAAAAAAATGGACTTTCAGCAGTTGCATGGCTGAATTACAGCAAGGCACTATTACACTTATTTTTAAAATCAACAGGGAAGTAGATTACCCAATGTTTCAGCCTCATTTTTTCTTCATCATCACCGCTGGATGTCTATTTATATATCTTATCGCAAATGACACTCCTGCGAAATGCAGCCTCCCCTACGTCCTGCCTCGACTGAGGTTCAGCAGGACCTGAAACCCTTCTCGGCACATTTGAATGAAATTGCACATTCAGACCTCCCAGGCTGAGTCGGATGGGAGGGGAGAAGGCGGAGAGTCTAGTTCCCCCATCAACACTGAGAGTTTCTGATTTTGAACCCTGAGTGGGACTCCGGGCTGAAAGGCATATTTATACACTTACGCTATTTGACAAATGGTTTCAAGGAAGTTATGAGCACAGCCCAGAGAGATTTCATTTCTAAGATTCATAATGTTGGTTGGGAAGTTAGAAAAAAAATCTATGGTACCAGAGGAAATGTTTTCTTGTGTTTATTATTAATATACATCCAAGGATTTCTAAATTGCAGATTAAAATCCAGTGCTGAAAAAAAAAACCAAATAATCGAGAGTTTGGGTGGCAACATCTGGAAATGTTGTCCCTGGTTTTAAGATATTAATTTGTACGCTGCCTTTTCCCAGGACTCTAAAGTATGCAAAAAGTTGCAAAACAATCTAAACTCAGCGAAGCCCAGCTCAGATGCAGAAGTAGGATATCCCGGTAGCCCAGAACGCCGCCCCACACACCGGTTTTACTGCTTTCCTTCCCCACTGACTTCACTTGTCAGTTTACAGTTAAACTGAAAATTGAACGCAGCACAGGCTCTCTGGCATGGACGGACCTTGCCGCCAGCCAGCGGTACATGCAGATCCACCCACGGCCTCTCCCTTGACTGAGACATCAGGTGAATGTTCTGGAAGTTGGCACAATCGGTTGTGTTGTGATGCGGGTTAAACGCTTCCTCGTGAATGTTCTTGCGTGGCCCATGGACGTTGGTCTAAATCCCGTCTCTGTATGCGTCCCAGACGGCATGAGGGCGTCCGTGTGTACCTGAGCACCTTTGAGAGAGCGCACCACGCCCTTGGGTGACTTTCTCTCTTCCTCCCCGAGTGACACTCTCTAGCTCCTCTGGTTCAGCGCCTGTCTCTGCCGTCGGCACGCGGGATGAGCCCGTCTCATTTGCTTTCGTTCTGCTTCTGCTCACCACTGAAACGCGACCCCTTTGAGTGCCCAGCTGCCCGCAGACACTCCCTGAGCTACGCCAGGGTCCCTGCCGCTGATCCCGCCAATTCCCATCCAGAGATGACACCGGTGGGCGCACCCAGCAACACACATGTCCCAGAAGCTTCCTCAGGCTGGGGTGCTGGGGCCTCTCAGCGGCTCTGTGTGGCGGTTCTGGGTGGACACTCTCCATTCTGCTGGTGCAGAGGTGCACACACGGGCCCACTGCTCCTCACCAACCCCAGCTCCTCCCTCTGGCCAAGTCCCCTCCCTTCCCCGTGGCCAGGAGGGTGCGTGGTCCCGGCCAGTGTGCGGTGGTGCCAGACCTCTGGGGGCAGGGAGACGGCTGGAGTGTGTGGGACGAAACCCCCCAGCCTCTGGTTCATTGCG